AAGAGCAACACTCAAGTTTCTTGTTCGTTGTTTTTGTGATGAGTCTGCGTTCCAAATGAGTGGTAGAATAAAAAAAATAAGTGATGAATATTCAAAAGTGCTTATATTAATTTTATCTGACTAAAGATTATTTCTATATTTAACATAGATTATGTTTTCTTTATACTTATTTAAGCAAAATTTTTACTGGGGTAGACTTCGTAAAAAAATCTGAATCTTTCATTCGTTCATCCTTCATAAACTGTGTTTCGATTGTATAAGCACTGAAATTACAGGATAAGATGATGATGGAATTACAGGATGATATCTTATTTTTCTTGAATGGTAAAGCAGAATGGCATCACGGGTGTTACGTGATTACGATAATATACAGTGCTGTTCATGTACTCGTATATAATCGACGGATACCGTTTACCTCAGTCAGACTGTTACAGTCCATGTTTGGTAAAAACAATATTAACAAAATGCTTAAATTACTCTCGGTATATTTGATCCAACATAGCACAGGGCGAGCGTACCTACAACCGTCTGACGAATTATTTTTGAATGATTTTTCAGGAGAGTCAGTCAGTCTCTTCACCGGAGAATCAATCAGAAATATCTGTGTCAATTTACAGATAGTATTTTTTTGTGTTGGCAGATTTGAACTTCCGCCCTGTATGTAATTACATAATAAAAATAGAAATGCCCTAAAATCACGACTATTATCCCAGATGGGATAGTCAAATGTTTTAGTGAAAGCAACAGTAACAAAATGCCTACATTTTGCATCATATTTCAATTCAACATAGCACAGGACGAGCCTACCACTATCTGACAGATTAATTTTTGATGATTTAGAATGACACTCAGTAGAGTCACTTTACCAGATAGTCAATGAGAAATAAAAATAACAAACTCAGTTTGTTTTTTTTGTGATAGCAGACTTGGACTCCTACACTGTTAGTAAATCAGGGCAGTCACCTAAGTAACTAACCCATGATGTAAATATAGTCTTTATCGCTCTCTGAAAATATTATATGTAATCGTTAACACCATATTTAGGCCACAAAAATCCGATTCTTTTCATTACTAAGGATAACGTAAAGACTACTTCTCTGATCTTGATCTGGAACTATATGGGAGACGAAAAGAGACTACATAATAAAAAAAAACAATTTACAAAACCGTTTAATGTAAAAACAAAAACTGGAGAGAAACAAGAAGCGCCATTCTAATAAAAATAAGAGTTTTCAATATCAATTCATGTAGAAAAGAGTTTTGAATGTACATAAAAAACATCAGATATAACTTCCTCATTTTCAAAGTCGGCTGAAAATATAAGGCTCTTAAACTTGATAGAGAGCTTTGTACATAAGTGGGTGGCTACAAAGAGGCGACTGTCAGGGGCAGTCTCTAGGAGTCGCATTTGAATGAAGCTTATAAAAGTTAGTTTATAAATAACTAACTAGTTGCAAACTGTTATCCCATACATTTTTTATAAGTATTATTTTGTTGTGTCAGGGTAAAATCAAGAAGACTCATTTTTTTAAATAACTAGCTCTCCGCCCCGCGCTTCGCACTTGTATTAACATATATAACCTTCCTTTTGAATCTATTGCTAAAAACCGCATTATAATCCGTTGCATAGTTTAAAAGATATAACAAACAGACAGTAGAAGTGACATCATTTTATACTATGTAAAGACTAAGTACTAACTAACAAAACTATTTTTGCAACAATCGGTACTAAAGTCGCATGCTAATCCGCTAAGACCACCAATACATGTGCGGATAGTGTGCTATTTAGCTATAAGCAAATATTTTTACAATCTATTAAGTATTTTTTGACTACCATTATTACAAAGAAACTATTTTTTTCTCTTTACAATGTTGTACTATTTTTGACACAACAATGCCCTTGTTATTTATACCAGCAAATACCTATCTGAGGACGTATCAGAGGTCGTAATTTCTTTACGAAGACATCCAGTTTCCCTAATATGACGCTTTATTCAGTCGATAGTGAATGCTGTAGGGTAAGAATACTGATAAAGGGACATTGTGATACCTAAAGTACTTGCACGTATGTTATGGATGTTTGATGTTGTTTTTGTATTGTATGTTTAAGTAAAGACAAAAAATCGGTTTAAAATATTGGAGACTTTTATTTTATTTTCGTCTATCAAACTAATTATAAAGCTCTCACAGAAAGTAGATCGGTAGCAACGCGACTCATAAATTAATTTTGTTCTAAGTTAAAATATAAATGAGCATATTTAAGCAATTTAATGTTTTACTTATTGGTTTCTGGAATAGTCTATAATACATGCTCGGCTTAGTTTAGATACTAGTACTACAGATAAGATAATATGTAACTTCCTGTTTAGGAAATTTATTTTTACAGATATGTACATATTGATTGAAATTTAATTTGATAACGATGTCAGAAAAAATTTTGATATCTTCTTTAACAAAATATCTTAGATTTATGTAGAAATCTTTGTGACAACTGCAAATTGTAAATTGTGAATGAATGAATAAAGTTATTATTATTCTTAAAAAATATGTATATTACATACTACTGCTAAATTGTCTGTAATGTATGTTGCGTATTTAATAAGTATAGGAGACGAACTTCTTAGCATGCCAATGATTCACGATGCGGATGCTGGGTGCATTGTGTAGCAGAGAGGGAATCTATACAAACATTCACCTCCACCGCTCGTGTTTCTCGTGCTGCTCGTGCTTCCTTGCCCACCCAAATCTGGTAAGAGACTGCTAGTGCAACTTTAAATACACGTTCTAGTATAGGACCCACTGAAGTTCTAAACAGGATATTTTAGAAGATTATAGCTAGATTTCGCTGGTATACCTCGCGCTCCCACTAAACCGCATATAAATTAACCACATAGTAATTTTTCATTCATTCGTTTATTAATTCGTAATATTTATTTGTTTTTGTTGCATAATTTTTAGATATATTTGTTTCTCATGGTACATTGAGCTCTATCAGTGTTACACGTTTAGTTTTTTTTATAATTTATGAGAATATGTGTCAATAAATTAATATATATACCATCCTAAATTATATGTAGGTTCACACGTCCTATCCGCAGACATACTCGAGTAGTCGAGGCTTTCGATTTGGTTTTTCCTGTACGATACAAATATTCCACTATTCATATTGGCTTGAGTGCTTTTCTATATATTTCATTTACAAACAAAATATACGAATATGTACATTAGGTGATTGAGGTGTTCTTATAACTGAATATACCAAGCCTGCTTAGTGTGAAACTAGATGGCGCAGTTAGAATACTCGTAATTAATTTCACTAACATGTAGTGTATAGCTTCAACCAGATATATAATGCGTAATTTATAGTAATAAATGCAGTATGTGTCCAACTTTAGAGTAGTGATTCAACATCCACTTTTTAAGATAGTTCAAATGTGTAATTTTCGTTCACTTTGTGCGAACTAGATGGCGCAACAGGCAAAAGAAATTGGCGCTGTAAAGAAGTTTTTGCTTATAATGACCTGTCTGTAGTATTCTTAATTAAAAACTCTATGGTTATTGAATGTTACATAGAATGTAGTGTATATTGATGTTAGTTACAATTGAAACCCTCAATAGCAGCTTTTATAACCTCAGGGTACGATCTAGTCTACTTAGATATCAGTATATAATAAGACTGTCACGATGGGAGTAGAATTTCAATTAATTATTCAAAGTAATGGATATTAAAATGAAAATAGATAATAATATAAATTCTCTTGGAGGTGACAAGTGACAGCACTTATCTGGCGAGACCGCGCGGTAATTCTGAGTGCATTTCAGGACCTAATAGCCTTTTAGGGGCCGCGGTGATTACACTGAGCAGACGCCGTTTTAAACACCTCTCTGCGTAAATTACAAACAGGTGGCAAATTTGCAGATAAGTATATTATTAGACCTTACCTTTACCTGCGACTTCGTCCGCGTGGTATAATAAAATAAATATGACTATTCTAAAGAGCTTATATTGCTATTATGTAAAAATCTTTATTGAAATAAACTATTTCAATAAAGATTTCTACATGTAGGTAATTAATTTTTTTTAATAATTATTTAAATGTAAATTTTAGTTATTTTTAAAATATATGTATGTATATATATATATATTATTAGGTATTCTTGAAAATGTAACATTTATCAAAGTAGTTAGTCCACTAAATCCAATCGAAGCTAAATAAAAACGTATGTGCGGTATAATGGGCATCACGTGAAAATGTGATGGTACTCACGTATATATATACGCGACGGTTACCACTTATTACCAAGTGGACTCATTATTCTTTTTATTGTACACACACATAGGAAAAAATAACAGTAATAAAGTAAATGTAATGTACAAGGGTGAGCTTATCTCTAAAAAGAGATTTTTTCCAGCAAAACCATACCATCTATCTACTATGCAGCAATTTTATAACAAATTTCATTTCATATCCATTGAATATCCATCATAAACTTTTTTATTTATAATGTGTTGTATAATGTGTATGTGTGTGTATTTGTTGATGTAAATAAAGTTAATATCGATCTATCAAACCTGAAAAATTATATAGGGTAATGTGTAGATCAGCCGTACATACGTGGACGAGAAAAAAAAGAAAAGGAAGATATTGTGGTATATATAATAAAAAGTCTAAAGTATAAGTATGAATTAACATACACAAATATATCTCTGCGTCTTAAATAGATTTATATTATTTTGTTTAATTCCAGTACAATTAACGGAATTAAACAAAATAATCTAATTCCCGAAATATACGACCTTCTCTAATGGTGATCACAACGTTTGTCAAGTTTCCGCACTGAATATTTATGATCTACACATGCTAATTGCAGCGGAATTAAATAAAATAATATTAATCCATTAAGTAGTGGAATGGGTTACCGAAAAATAATAACTAATTCGGTTAAATTTATCTCTGTTTGTTTGCCATCGCAATTAAATAAAAAAAAATTTAACTTACCGTTTGTGGTTTGAAGAGTAGTGGTGAAGAGACATAACAGCGACAGTGACAGGCATCCCAGCGAGTTGAGCCAATGTGCCGCGGCCATACTGTATCCTGAACATATAAAAATTTACCGTTACCACCTACGTTAAAATTATTAGATAGAAAGAAAAATGATATCCCTGAACAATAATGATATGCTGATGGTCACTCTATTCTCCCAAATTTGAATTAAAAAATGACTCAGATTTTTTTTTAACATGTACAAACATATTTGAAAAGAATAAGAGCTGAGTTTCTTGTCAATTCTTCTTAGCTCAAAAGCACACCGAACTGGCGATAGATTTGACGAATCATAAGAGTCTGTAGGATATTTTGATTTTCGACAAAACACACAACGCCAAGCTAAGCAAACCTTGTGTTATGGGTACTAGACGAGTGATTGAATACTTAAGATACATTTTTCTTTAAATACATACATAATATACATAGAAACTACTCAGGCCAATACAAACAATCATTCTCATAAATACAAATGGTTATGCCGTACGAAGAATCGAACCTACGTCCTACAGTAAAGTCGAGTCATAAAACTAAGTCTGAAATAAATAAATGCATTTATCAACATATTAATCGTAACTCTTAATTTATATATCATATTGTATCCAGAATTTCCCTTATTTTAACATAAGCAAACTATAATCAAGATTTATCGAAATGGAAATTAAATATTAACCTAATTTCAATATACATACAAAATATACATTTATCAGGGTTGGTAATTTTATTTGTTATAGCCTACTTTAAAATATTGCGCCATCTAACGGGTGGTGCTAGAACTAAGTTGCGATAATAAAGCCGCTTAGAGGCTCTTAATATTAAGTCTAAAACATAGATGGCGCTATTTTGAAAAATAAAATATTTATCTATTCCTGAAATAAGAATATTTTTCATTAGATCTTTATCTACTTTTTATTCATAGATTGATTTATAAAATGTTTTATTTTTATTTATTCCGTGGTCGCTATTGCAGTCAAAAATACTATATATTATAAATAGCTTGCTTTTTAAGTTAGTAAAAAAAATTGTAGATGCTAGTTATTGAAGACGAGGGGAGGAGTCCTAATGGTAATAACCAAGATGTACTCTACGCGGTGCCATTTGATGTCGTTGTTAATGAATTTATCAGGAAATAATTCACAATGATTTCCAAGTGGGCCACGATGTCTGATACCTTACTGAGGTGACTTCATCCTTATCTCATCACCACTCTCACATCTCTACCAGCATATACTGGTAACACAGGCGGGCGCACCCTATTTTCGACCACTAAAGTAAAGTTATTGAAGATAAAATTTATTAATATAACGTTAAGGTCCTGTGGTATTACCACTTACCATATCGTCAGCATGTGGTATTCACCGCGGTTGTCTACTACCCACCACAGATCACCTACGACAGAAAATATCCTCATTAATAAAACACAGATAAGATAATCGTATTATTAATATTATAAACGCGAAAGTTTGAGAGTATGAATGGCTGATTGTTAGTCTTTCACGCGGAAACTACTGAACAGAATTTGTTAAAACTTTAGTGATATTGCTAATGTATAATCAGAATAACACATAGGCTATAAATATGCTGCGGATGAAACCACTAGTAATAAATAAATAAAAGAATTTTTGAGTTATAGAAATCAAAGTCAAGCTTACGTCGAACCGATATATAAAGTTCCTCTGAATCGACATGCTCTGCTTAGCTTGGGACCAGATGGCACTATATGATTTGTCCTGAGATACAATTAATATGACAAGGATTACTATTAACTAAAAATGAAAACGTTTAAAATTTATATAAAGTAGTCTTAATTTGATAACGGAAACCTAGTAGTAGTGGTAAAATCTCTCTCGGACCCTTAGTATTAAATTTATATCTGGCCAGATAGAAGACATTGCGATTAGAATTTTATATTATTATATATATGGATAAGTAGTTTTAGCTATATTTATTTATTTATTTATTCTTTTGCACACAAAAATGTATACATGGCGGACTTAATGCTTGATGGCATTCTCTAACAGTCAACCTATATATGTAAGTATTTCTAATATCTCTTAAGAAAAGATTCATACAATTTGAGCTACATTACTAATATTTTATTCTATATTCTTTGTTCTTTTCCCCTCTTTATACATAAGGCTTATATAATATGGTCAAGCAGGTATACATAGTATAGATACTTATCTCAATTTATCATCTTTATTGAAAGTCGGAAGTGATTAAATTCGTAGTAGTCAGAAATGTCTTGGAAAATTAACGAAAATTTAATGGTACAGATGGGAACGGCAATCGGGCAATATTATCATCATACATACGTATAAATAAAGTAATAATTTAGCTTGCGACTTGATTAATGTAACTAATGACTTTAATAAATAGATTAGATAGTATTCAGTTCATGAAAAAAACAATGTCGACCGCATTATTAAGGATTACTGAAAAACTAATAGTCAGATCTTTTCATCCATAAATAGTGTATGTTAGTGTATTGTCTGGGAGAAAACAATAGTTTCATCCATTCTCATACTTTATGAATGAATAGGAACATACGCGAAGTACTAGCTTTCAAATAAACGCATTATCGAAATCGTTTCACGTGGAAAAATATTTCGATAGAGCATTAAACGAGTGTTGAGAGCTCCTTTTTTGAAATTGGTTGAAAGTATCCTATGACGTAAATGCTACGTGTATACCAAAATTTCATGACTATAAGTTGAGTTGTACAGATCACGCAATTTTCGCATTTATGGCATTAGCAACAAGGATGATTTTGGAAAGTTCACTGCTACGGGAACAAGAATAAAAGGTTCTGCATTTACGAAGCCGCGTAAAACTGCTTGTAGAAGGTCTGTAGAGATTATTAAATATTAATGTACCTAGATTGGATAGTAAGAAATGGTGTACCTACGGATGTCGTAGCGGTTTCTACGTAGCTTCGTAGCGCTTCTAAGAATACCCGAAGTTACTACGAAATTACGTAGCACTACTGCGTCTCTCGATATACACCTACGTGCAATTTCCGTAATGAACTTTAGCGTTCTTAACCCCCAATATATAAAGAGGTTGAATGTAACGATTATTATGTAGTTTTGATTTTTGTTTGAAAATTGACGTGAATGAGATGGTTTTAAACTACATTTTACGGAGATCTGTTCAAACATTTCAAAATTATTTATTAAGATAGGACCTTTCAGTCTCCTCTGCACTATAACTAAGTTCGGCCACCTACTTCAATTGAGAACAACTGGCAAGAAATTCAACTGGTAAATTTTTATGTTTTATTATTTCAACGTCATCATTTCGCTTTGTTAGATGCGATAGGGATTTTGGATGCATAATGGATATTTCATTTTTGGAGTTTTTTTTTTGTATTGTTACTTTCAAGTACTAATTTTATATTCAACTTGGTATGTTTCAGAACAAATAATCAAAATAAATTGTAATTTTCTTTACCAGCTATTACTGGAGAAGTCATTTTTTTTACATCAATATATATTTTTATACCTTAAGATAACATATATCCATTGTCTAATAATAGATGTCTACTTTGACAATTACTCGTCAAATTGTCGATTCCATATTAAATTTTATTAAGAACTATTCAGCCGTTTCATTATAAAATGTTGACAAACATACTTTCACATACAACAAACAAACAAATAGTAAAGTATAAAAAACACTTCATTCCTACAGCGGCACTCATTCGTTTAGATCATCCGTAAGCCCCGCGAGATAACCAGTGAAACAAATAAAAATGTCCCAACAATTGTCTCGCCTAGTGAGGGAAGTCGGCGGGATATAACCGTTTCAAACTAATACAAGATACCACTATAAACATTGCAAGGTCAAATAAAAAATAATGGAATCTGAATAACGATAGTAACGACAAAACCGTTTTATTTTTCTACTAGTTAGCAGTTACGAGCGAGTTCGTTTGCTTTAGATAAAAGTTGGTCTTTATTTGTCCTCTTAATACAATGTTTGATCTACGTGATCACGTCAAGTTTCGCGTACTAATATATACATACCAATATTATAAATCTGAAATATATTTATTTATTTATATTACAAAATAATGGAAAGAATTAGCTGGAAAGATAAAATAAGGAATGAAGAAGTGCTTGAGAGGATTAAAGAAAAGAGACAGATCATAGATATTATTGAGAATAGGCGGGGGAAAATGTTGGGGTACTTGATACGACACGACGAACTAATTAACAACATTATAGAAGGAAAAATAAATGGAAAGAGAGGAAGAGGAAGACCAAGACATAGCTATATCAAGCAAGTTAAAGAAAAAGTTGGAGTCGTGTCGTATCAACAGCTAAAAGGACTGATGGAAGAACGTGGAAGGTGGCGGGAGCTCCACCGACAAGAGCACAGCTCTTAAATTATGAATGAATGAGAGGACAAACAAGCTTGCCGCAGATGTACGGCATAGAAATGATAACCACCGCCCATGGGGTGCAATACCTTTTACATAAGTAAGTTTTATCTTTAAGATTTCAATATCGTATCGGTTCCGATGACTTTTTGTTTGTTTGTTATCCTTAATTGGGATTAAGAAAAACAGATAATGACGGATCTTAATAAAAAAAATTACGTGAATATAGACTGTATCACTAGAACGGACATAAGCCAAAAAATAGCACGCAAAGCCAGTGGATAAGACAGCACAGAGTAAGAGAAAAATGAGAACGACAGTCACTAAATCTAATAAAACAAAATCGAAATACCCAATAATGGATATCGCACCCACAATGATTGGCCGTTAGGTCATTTTTTATTCGATTTTGTCGCTGTAAAGAAGTAATAAAAAATATTTTTAAATTTGGAATAAATGATCTTTCTAATATTTTTTTGGTCAGTTTTGACAGATAATGGGAATGCAAACGTATAAAGACAATTATTTGAAGGAAATATAAAACACTACCGAAGAAAATAGCTGTATAGTAATATTCTTTTGGCTTTCTCTGAAAAGGGAAAACCGAAATTATTTCTTCTTAATTAATATGCCAAATAGAGAATCTTTTATCAAGATGACACCTAATTTACCGATCCACTTAATTCCTTTTTAAAACGCGTCATTAAAATTAAATCTATATGAAAGAGTAGGTAATTAATTATTATAGAATAATTTGTATGGACATCAAGTAATTCTAGCTCCAGTGCGTTTTAATTAGTCTTTATTGTGTCTGTGCATTGCGGCGGACAAAATCTCAGCGCGCTTTGTTTAGTTAATTAATGTTTACAACAAGTACCCACGGCAAATGTAGTCTTATGTAAACGTATAATATATACATTCAATTACGATTGTATGTGTAGGTATATAAAGGAATCACTTCTATCAGAACACAGAGTTGTATTTATTTAGATAATATTTTTTTGTTGTGTATTTGTCAGGTTAAGGTTGTAAAGTAAAAAAATAAAGTAATTACCTATACCTTAATTACTTTATGTTTTTCTATTTTATCTAAACAAATTGAAGTCTGTTTGTAATTTTAAATTAGGTAACAGTATCTGGATGAATGGCGATCCTCCACCGTGCGTTTTTCCAGAAACTTTTTGCCACGCACAACCACATTATAGAATCACTTTCTGGCAATGATATTGAAAGCTTCAAGACTTTATCTCTACTTAAAAGACTGGCAATCCTATGTTGTATATAAAAAAACTTTACTTACATCAAAAAAAATTCAAATTATGGTCTGTTTCTGCCTGTTTGTTCTTAGTAATCTCTGAAATGGCTGTACAGATTTTAACATGGATTTCACTCGCAGATAGCTAATATTATAAGGTACTCCTTATAATATATCTAATATTACAAGGTACTCCTAGTCATTAAATAAAAACACCATTACAGAATCAAGAGATTAAAGCGGTGTACTTCTTATTTATTATTTATAACACTTTTTTATTAATAATCAAATATAAATCGGTGTCGTAGCACTGACGATGGCACTGAAGCGCCGATACACCACACCCTTCGGCCAGTACTCCTCCATCATGAACGTGGGCAGTATGTTGGCACCCGGGCCACAAACCTCTTGAACTTGACTCGACTCCAGCAGCGTCACCCTCAATGTCAGGTTACTTCTGATCCGTATATATTCAACAATATCCATTTATTTCTTTGTCAATTCTTCTTCATTAGTACCTGCACACGTATACGAAATCAAGTCGGGCAGTTAATTAACAACATATTGTTTGGAAATTGGCCTGTCCATTTTGATAGATTGCAATTTGAACGTGTATTGTATCGTCGTTGAATTTGCTTCCGGTGCACCTGTTCAATTACCGACTACGTCATCCTCTTCATCACACTTTGAATAGCAGAGATTCTAAATGTGACATGTGTTTATCGTGTGGACAATATTAATCTGTTATCA